TGTTGTAGTTTATATTCTAAGTTATTTATTTGTATTTCTAGATATAAAATAGTCTTTCTTTGTGTTATTATAGATTTGTGACAAATTCCTGCAAATATATTATTGTTAAGTTTGTCTTGCTTGTATTCTAATTCTTGCCTTTTTGCTATAATTATTTCAGTGAGTTTTTCTTTATATTCATTATTTTTGCTATTCATTGTATCTTTAAATATTGAATATATTTATATTCTATTTTAGATATATTATCTATTAATTGGTCTAATTTTTCGTTATCGGTTTTTGTGATATTGAGTTGTTTATATTCCAGATATAATTTGTTTAATTTTCTTCTTAATTTTCTTATCTTTCTACTAGTATGTTTCTTACCATGTTTCTTATTATCCATAGCTCTGATACCATTCCGGATATAATTTGTTTAATTTTCTTCTTAATTTTCTTATCTTTCTACTAGTATGTTTCTTACCATGTTTCTTATTATTCAAAGTGTAATGGAGAAGATAACATAATTCCAGATGTCCAGCTGGAATAATCAACGAGGAAAAGAAGAAGAAAACAAGAAGGAGAAGATAAAAAGATAAGAACGGAAAAAGTTATGTAAGTAAAATAATGTAAAATAGTTGCAAAGTTGTAAAGTAGTCAAATAAGTACGTAGATAAGATGTAAAAGTCAAAAAGTCATAAAAAGAATAGTGTATAGTTTGGTGTGTGTGTCATAAAGTAGGTATGTGTCTTAAAAATAGTGTGCAAATAATGACAAGTGTATATGTACATTATTAATATGTCGTAAATAGGATAGTGGTAGACAAAATAAGAACTATTCATGAATAGTAGTAAATAGTAGTCATGAATAGTAGTAAATAGTAGTGGACAGATGTAAAAAGCGTATTAGAGTCTGTATGTCTATATATAGACTCAGTTGTAAACATTATAAGATAGGCAATGCCTGATATATAAAACTCTCCTTTCAAAAACTCTCTCAATATACTAAATATTTAAAAGTTAGTGGATAAATCTAAAATTCAATCAGATATTTCAGATAGCATGGCTAAGCAAGAAGCAGAGGTATATTGTTCAAAAAATATGCGGAACTAATTTCATATATTCCTGAATATCATATATATGATTGAATAAATTTATGTTAGTTATTATGTATTAGAATTATTTGAATCATGATTTCTAGTTTATTAGCACACTGGAAACAGGGAGAAAACTTCTATACTATGTCATCCTAATGTTGAAACCGGTAGGCGAGGAAAGCCATTTAGGGGAGTAAACAAAGTTGAGGCGCTGATAAGAAGGAAATATCCGCTAAAGTATGATGCTAGTAGTGACAGGAAAATATGATAAACAAATAATCTGGTTCATAATGATCTAATATGAATTTAATCAATTATGAATATGGTAGGAAGGAATAATTGAAAATAAAAAATCTGCATAACAACGAACATGACCACATACATGCATGATGAAATGATAAAAAAACTACGAAACTTTAATCCTATATATACTTAAAAATATAGAAATAATTGAATTAAAAAGAATAATATGGGAAAAAATATTTGAAGATAACGAATCAGAAAATATATTGAACCAAGAATGGTATGAAATAAACCTACATGATTTAGACCTCGAAAGAATAGAATGGTATGATTTAGAAATAAATTGAGATTAAAATGAACTACGAATATTTACAATATTGGATAGAATCTATGGAAGATATAAAACTATTAGAACAATTAATGGAGGAAAATTTATATATGTACCAAAGAACCCAAGATATGTTATATCTAGAATATATCATAAATAATATTAATGAAATATTCAGATTAAAACAACTATCGAAAGAATATTACAATAAATATTATTACAAAGCATCTCTTGGACACCTTACTTGTCCACCTCCACCTCCACCTCCACCTCCACCCCCACTTCCACCTCCACCTCCACTGCCCGAACCACCACCTCCACTGCCTGAACCGCCACCTCCACTGCCACCGCTACCAGGAGGATGATAAGGACAGAAGGCACAATTAGTACTAGTTGCAGTGACCATGGCGAAGAAGAGGAGATTGAAGGAGAGGAAAAGGGTAAGTAATGAGGCTTTAGTTTTAGAAGCCATGTTATTATAAGGAAGCTAAAGCACACAAACCGTTGCAAAGATGATCGAACAAATGTAATGGCATGCAGGGTATTTATACTGCTACAAGGAATATAATACTCTTTCTATCCTAAATTACACTATTCACTTTTTTAGTCAGTTCTAAAAACAATACTCCCTGACATTATTCAAGAGTTAAATAGTTTAAGTTTGATTGAAAATTTATTCATGAAATCTTTAATTTTTTAAAAATAAAATTTATATATTATAAACTACGTAAAAATTACTATAAGTCAGAATAATTTAAAATTCAAAATATTTAAAAGATATATGAAAATTTATGAAAAATAAGTTAAATTAATTTCTAATTAGAGTAAGATGACATTCTTGTTGGTACAAACTAAAAAGGAAATAGTGACGTATAAAATGAGATGGAGGGTGTAACAATTTGAACTTTGAAAGGTTTATTTTACTCTTAATGAAATAATTTATAATTATACAAATATTTAGAAAGAATATACGACTTTGTAGGTGAACAATAAAAGTTGCCCTTGAAAAAAAAATGTTTTATCATGGAAGGGAATTATTAGATCAACACTTTTTATGGATTACAGCTTCATAGCTATAGTGATGCCCATGACATGGAATCTGTTAGGCTATGGTAGCTCCTTTTCTACTTTTCACTACTTCACAAATTATCCTCCATATTAGGACAACTTTCATGTCTACCTATTTAATGGTAACCCACATTCCTCCTTAATACATATTTTAACCATAGGTGAATGACTTTAGATAATGGAAGAAAAAGGTCAAAAAATGCACTTGGACTATTGTAAAATGTCTAAACATATCTTTGGATTCGTCCACCTATTTTACTAAGAATATCTATCTAGTTATACTTTTTGCTCTTATATGTCCTTAGACTGAATTTTAAAAAACAAAATATATATATACGATATTTTATTATTGATCCAATTAAATTATTTTGACTTACCAATCAAACACTAATCTGCTCGAAAAATATAAAATGTCTACCAAAAGTGGTCAAAAATCGATTATTTAAATTATTATTTTTATCGAATTGATCTCTTGAAGGCATTTTTTCTAATGCCAAAAAGTTTGCGAAAAATCTCTGCATATCGGTTTTTCTTTATTAAAAATTTGCTAAACACCAACCTGCAGTGGCAGATCTATGAAGGGCCTTGGGGGTGCCACGCCACCCCCGAACTTCGACGGAAACTCTATATATACATAGGTATATATACATAATATTTATATAAATAAAAAGCGTGCCACCCACAGAACAAAATTGGCTTGTGGTGCCATGGTAGGAGGGCAACTTTAGAAGGTTGAGGTTGCGGGTTCGAATCCCATTTGAACCAATTTTTTTGAAAAATTGTTGCTGACGTTTTTAAGTAAAAAAAAAGGCCCCATGCCCCTTTTTTTAAGGAAAAACAACTGGCACATTATTTTTATTTTTTTATAATTGTTATTGACTTAAATTAAATTAATTACATTACTCCTTTGACTTAAAAGTGTTATCTTTCTCTTCAACTATTTCCAAACCATTCTTCCTCCAAGTTTCAACTTTTCCAAAATTTTCATTACCCCATTCCGAATCCAAATCACTTCTTGTCGTTGCCGTCCCCCGCCCGTCTTAGCATTCCGTTCAGCGGCTAAGCCTCATTTGGGTGTTATTGTTTTCAGTTTTCTCCATCCATCCACAACTTTTTATAGATTGTAAGTTTGCAATTCTATTTTTGTAAGATTTTTTTTATTTCTATTTCATGAGTTCTTTTAAGTTTTAATCAGTGATGATTGATTTCATATTAGACAAGAGTTTTGATTTTACTTTGATATTCTAAATTTCTAATGAACATTGTAAGACATTATTGGTTAAAAATTGTGTGATATGAATCATGTTAATTTGAATTAACTATGCCTTACCCTATTAAATTTGAATTAATTGTGAGTTGAATTGAATTTTATTTTTTGTAGGAAAGTGTTCTAGTTTTGTGAATTGAGATGGAGAAGTTTCTTTTGAAATTTAACCATTCTCCAGCAAGTTCTAGTACGAATGTCAATCCTTCTAGTCTTATAGATGACCTTAATTTAGATTCACTTGAAGACGATCCAGGAAAAAGGGTACCAATTGCTCACTATAACCCTCAAATAAAGGATGAAATGAGGAAACATTATATTCAGAAAGGGCCTTGTCAACCAAAAATGGATTCATATCCTCCAACTGAAATTGGAAAAAGAATGCGTCAATTTTGTAAAATTTGTTTTGAAGGTCCATATTCTAAATGGTTGGAGTATAGCGTGGAGAAAGATTATGTCTATTGTCTATGTTGTTATTTATTCACAGATGATTTTTTCCATGGAAGTACAAGTGAGTTTTACACAAAAACGGGTTTTAGGAGTTGGAATAGGGCACTTGAAAGATTCCGTAAACATGTTGGTGATGTTAATAGTATTCATGACAAATGTTTCAACAAGATACTAGATTTGTCAAATCATCATCAATCAATTCAAGTTGTTATTGATAAGCATTCTCAAAAGTTAAAAAATGAGTATCGAATTCGTTTGGAAGCCTCAATTGATGTGTCAAGACTTCTTTTGCAATATGGATTACCTTTTTGAGGTCACGATGAAAGTGAATCTTCAATTAATCAAGGCTTCTTTCTAGGATTTTTGCGATGGCACGGGGACAAACATCCGGATGTTGGAAAAGTGATATTGGAAAATGCCCCACAAAATGATACGTTGACTTGTCATATGATTCAAAAAGATATTGCCAATGCTTGTGCAAAAGAAACATTGAAAGCAATAATTGGGGACTTGAATGGAGATTACTTTGGTGTATTAGTTGATGAGTCAAAAGCATCTCTCACAAAGAACAAATGGCTCTTGTTTTGCGTTTTGTTAATAAGAATGGTGAAGTATTTGAACGATTTATCGGTCTTGTCCATGTTAGTGATACATCGGCATGTTCATTGAAGAAAGCGATTTATTTTTTGCTTTCCGTTCACTCACTAGGTCCATCCAAAATACGTGGACAAGGTTATGATGGGGCAAGTAATATGAAAGGAGAGATAAATGGGCTCAAAACTTTGATTATGAAAGATAGTCCATCGGCATATTACATTCATTGTTTTGCTCATCAATTGCAACTAATACTAGTGGCTATTGCTAAAAAACATTTGGATGTTGAAGACTTTTTTGATCATGTTAGTAACGTGTTGAATGTTGTTGGAGGATCTTTCAAGCGTAGAGACTTACTTTGTGATCACCAAGCCAAAAAGTTAGAGAAATTATTTGAATCCGGTGAAGTTCAAAAAGGTCAAGGATTACATCAAGAATGTGGGCTTCAAAGACCAGGTGATACTCGTTGGGGATCACATTTCAAAACTTTAGATAACTTTACTGTTATTTTCTCATCTATTGTTCATGTTCTTGAAGTGATTGAACTTGAAGGGTCCACATCAAGTGATAGAAATCAAGCGGAGTATCTTTTGACAAATATTAAAACATTTAAATTTATTTTTGTGCTTCACTTGATGTTGAAAGTGTTGGCAATGTCAAATGAGTTGAGTAAGATTTTACAAAAAAAAGATCAAGATATTGTTAATGCCGTGGAGTTTCTTAATATTACAAAGAAAAGATTGCAAGATATGAGGGAAAATGGATGGGAATCTTTGTTGGATGATGTTTCCTCATTTTGTGATGTGCATGATATCTTGATTCCCAAGTTGGATGAGTCTTATTTTCCCGAGAAGTCAAAACGTAAGTCTTCGGGTGTTAGTTATGCGCACCACTTGCATGTTGAAGTCTTTTTTGCTGTCATTGATGTGCAACTTCAAGAACTTAATGACCGTTTTGATGTAGTGAGTAGTGATTTGCTTCTTGGGATGGGTAGCTTGAATCCGGTCAATTCTTTCTCTAATTTTGACAAAGGTAAAATCATGACTTTAGCAAAGTGTTATCCAAGTGAGTTTGATGATGGAAAAATTCGAGATTTGAGCTATCAAATCGATACTTTCATTATTCATATGTGAAGTGGTAATCCCAAGTTCTCCAACTTGCAAGGAATTCGTGATTTGGCGAAGGCATTGGTTGAAGCAAATCTTGCAGAAACTTATTCACTTGTTTATTTACTTGTAAAGTTGACTTTGATTTTACCTGTTGCTACGACAACTGTGGAGAGAGCATTTTCGTCAATGAAGCACATAAAAAATGAAGTGCGGAATAGTATTGGTAATCAATATTTAAATGATTGTCTAGTGTGTTACATAGAGCGTGATGTGTTTATAAATGTTAGTAATGATGTCATTATCGATCGTTTTCAGAATATGAAAACTCGTCGAGGACAATTGTAAATGAATGTTGAATATTTATAATATTAGTAAATAGTAATATTATTGAAAGTTTTAAATTTGTTAACTTCATGCTTTTAGTGTGGAGTGTGGATTTGTAATATCTTATTATTTATATTTTATTGATTGCTTTATGATATATATCGAAAAGACGAATAATTTAATCAAATATAAAACTAATTTAATCGATAAGTTTATTTGGCACCCACGGACTCTAAATCCTGGATCCGCCACTGCCAACCTGTAAAGATCATTTATAAATCCATTGAATAGTGGATTGTCCATTTGATTTATTCATGAACTACCAAATTCATGTATGTATATTCCCTAGGAAATATGAACCCTTTTTTGGATAAAAACATGGATAACAATGTATCTTCTAGTTTGGGCATTGAAATTGGTGACCTTTGGAGTGCTATCTCAACCTATAAATTGAGATATCATTCACCATTATAAAACACACTTGAATAGAAGAAAAGTCCTCTTCTTTATCTCCATATCTTGCCTTCTTCTTTTTGTATTATATTATTCTGAGCTTATATTTTATAACACGTTATCAATACGAATGTTTTGCCGTGGGGAATTAATCTTAAGGTGCTTATTATATGCCACGAGAGAAGGGCATATGGTAAGAATGAGGTTGGTGGCACAAGGCCATGTCACAGAACCTTCCAAATACGTCTTAAGTTTGTGCCTTTTATTATTTGTCATAACTTATTCATATGGCGCGGGATAGTAGCATATATTGCTTTATTTATTATTAAAAAAAATGATTTTATGCAATTATAAATTAGTATATATTGCTTTAGGTTGAATATATTATATTACATTAAAACATATAGTTTACAAATTATATTTTGCATAAATCTTGTTCATATATGTACATTTTAAGGACTTGGGGTGAGTCTTACAACACTTTGGACTATGATGTTAATTAATGATTGAGGTTAACACGATGAATTTAAGTTTCATCGCACCAAGAGGGTAAGACATCAATTTGAGCTTTGATGCACCATAATGATAAGGTATTGGGTTCGAGTCTCATAGAATTATGGCCTAACGTGCCTTGTATATATAAGACATTGAGTTTGAGTCTTAATGCACCATAGTGATGATAAAATGATGACTAAGGCAAAAATAATATATTTTTAATGAAAAGTCTTGAAATCCATCTCATTGAATTTGCTTCATTCCTTGAAAAGAATGTGATAGCAATGTATGATAACTTTGAAATCCGCCAGTTGATTTGCTCGATTCTATCATATGAATGTGGTAGTAGTGAATAATGAGTCTGAAAGACGTTAAACGATTGAATGTATGAATAATGACGTGGAGGGACATAATTATAATAATCATCATTGTGGTAATTATAAAAGGAAGAATGATATGAGTTCTTCAAATAGTCCTTCAGACTGTGAAAATAATTTTATCATCAAAATGCACTACTAAAAAAGCACGGAAAAAGGCGACGGATTGCATCGCTTTTTACGCCAAAAGCGACGCAGTCAATCTCGCCGCTTTTCCAAAAGCTGCGGATTGTGTCGCCTATTATTTTATTTTTAAAAAAATAAAAATAATGCAACGCCGTCCATCGCTTTTTTAATTTTTTAATTTTTTTAATTTACAAAAAGCTCGTCAGTTTTCTTAATTTTTAATTTTTTTTAGAATCTTGAAAAGCGACGGACTAAGAGATGTTGTCCATCGCTTTTCTTTCAATTTAATTTTTAAAAATCCAGAAAATAGATGGACTAAAGGACCCTGTCCGTCGCTTTTTTGGTATTTTTAAAAAAATAACACCCAGAAAAGCGACGGACAAAACACCATGTCCGTCGCTTTTTCTGCAAATTTTTTGACTGCCCACCTGCCAAAGCAATTCAATTCAATTCAATTCAGCCCGAATCAAACACAAAACATTATAAAGAAGCTACACAAAATATAATACAACGAACTTAAATTAGCATTCAAAAATATCTAAATCACAATTTAAAGTCTTATAAAGTCTTCCAAATTTCATTTTAAAATTTCAAAAAGTTCATAATAATAAGAGACCTATACTAGGGAGTGCGATCTACAAAATCATCCTTCTCCTCACTGTCGTCATCGATGTCCTCGTCAAGAGAAGATGTAGTAGGTCGACGAGCGAGGTTCAACACTTGTTCTTTGATTTGCTGAACGGTCGCACTCATGCTTTGTTGTTCAGCTACTCTTCTTTGCTCAGAATTTGCCAGTGCCAATGTAAGTTGTGCTATTTGAGCCGACATAGCAACAATCTGAACACCGTCAAGTAACTCGGCTTGACGTGACGATCCAATACCTTGTAAGCCTGACTGGTGTCGTCTTACATCATTTCAAGAGCCTCGACCACAGACTCTACCCTTGTGTGTCCCCCTTACCACTTTTTTTGTCCAAATTTGGGTGGACAGTTTAGGTGTCATTTGGACCGAACTATCTAGATTCTCATTCATGTACTAATTAAACTCCCTCTGCATATTAAATATAAAAATTGACATTAATATATATATATATATACCATAAATATATTCACTATTCATAAATATTATTCATATTAAATAACTTACAAAAGTTCATTCTGCCCTTTCTTCCACCCACACATCCGGATCCAACTAATTTTCTTTCTTCTTCCCATGAGTTCTCTTGAAAACCTCCGGTTCAAAGGGAGTGCGTCCCATTTCTTTTTCCTATAAATAAATACTGAAATTTATAACGATATATATGAATCAACTAATTATTTATTTAAAAATTTGAATTAGAACTTACCATCTCTCTTGTAATTGTTCCAACGGTCTTTGCACATCCGGTGTGCAACGAGCCATCCTTAAGACTACCTCTATCATTTTTGGCTTGTTCGGACATTGCCTTGAATTTATCTGTGTTCCAATATTGGCGCAATTCATCAAAAACATGAGGCAACATCCAACCCGGACGTTGATCAGTATCCCAGACTTTCTTTAGCCAACTAGACAGTCTTGTGGATGTCCTCCTCTCAAATGTGGTCGCAATGACCATATTGTACCTCGGCTTCCAAGTACACAAAGTCTGGAAAAAAATTGAATAGCGTTAGATCGATAGTAAAAAAAAATTAAAGTATACTAAAATTATTAAACTTAACTAAAAAATATATACCTTAAATTCATTTTTCTTGAATGTAAGTATTATGGTGATGTGGGAGAAACCAAAGGTGAATGAATGGAAACTAAACACTGATGGGAGCTTCAATTCGAAAGAAGGAAAAACAGGAGCGAGGGGTATTGTTAGAAAAACAAATGGACACATGGTGATGACATTTGCAACCCCAGTGCATTTCCATACTAATAACTACTCAGAAGTGAAAACAGCCTTACATTGAGTCCAGTGGTGCATATCCAGAAATCCACATAAGTTCATCCTCGAATTAGACTCTCTTCTGGTGGTGAACATGATTTTGGGCAAATGCAAGATCCCATGGAAGGTGCAAAGAGATATTGCTATAATACAACAGATGATACAACAGAACAACATTCAAATTTAACACTATTTTAGAGAGGGAAATGAAGTTGTGGACTTCTTATCCAAGCATGCACACAATCTTAAAATGAAGTAAGTTGTCAACTGAAGTTAGAGGTGCCATCAGAATAAATAAACAGAATGCAAATCTGTATTTAGAATTAGACCCTAAAAACACTTAGAATGGCATTTCGAATCATTCACTTAGAATGGCATTTCGAACCACTTTAATTCTTTCCTGATACCTTAGGCTAAACTTCCATTACGATAGTTTGTAGCCTCTTTTGCATTAGCTTGGTGTATGTTGTATACTCACCAAGTAGAAGGAATTCTCATGGAGGTTTTTGGCACTATGTCCCCCTCCAATTCTGTACGTAACTAATTCGTGGTTAATTTACAAGGAAGAGGATAATGCCCCTTTTTTGGAAAAAAATTGTATACTCTTAATAGCTCTAGTGCATGTTTAGACTAGTTCCTTGGAGGTGTTTTTTAGTCTATTGTAAAGAGATTTTACTAAAGTTGTGATGTTAATGAGCTCTTTGTAGTAAATCATTTATTTTTCACATGCTTTAATCCAAATTGGATGGTAAGGATTCTCTTATCTAAATGTCAGAGTAGATGCTCGTACGACCTGGTGAGTTGGATCGTGACTTTTTAATTATAATGTTAATAAAGTTTATTGATTATTTTTTAAGGAAAATAAATTGCATGATAATAATATATTTTAAGATATTGTAACTTTTTTATTGCTTAAAAGTTAAAATGTTAAAAGTTGATGTGCATCTCAAAATTGCTTTTATATAATTGAATTATTCATGTATTTGTAAAATCACCTTAGACAGTTTTGCCATGAGTTTCTTTAATTATATTTTAATTCATTTAAATTATGTTATGTATTATTTATTTATTTATTTTTATAGTTTTTTTATTATTATATTGTTTTCATATATTATAAATTGAAAAATTAAAGAATCATGAGGTGTACGTCCCATTACTCGGGAATTACGCTTCATCATGTGCTAAAAGTAAAATGTCTCATCTTATATATATATATATACTTCCTCAAGACGTGGGGAAGTTAATAAAGAATTGAACAGAGGTTCAAACATTTTATTGTTTACTACTCCATTTAACATAGGGAAAAAAATTGAACAGAGGTTCAAACATTTTATTGTTTACTACTCCATTTAACATAGGGAAAAAAATTGAACAGAGGTTCAAACATTTTATTGTTTACTATTTAACAGAGGGAAATAATCCTAAGCAGGTAGGTGAACGTTAATATTCCTGCTTAAAATCATTAATATGCTTATGAGGGCTATAGAATTTTCTTATGGACTTCATTTATATTTTATATATTTTAAAAAAAAAGTTGTT